GAATCATTCTGCCGTCGAACGCACGACGAAATTACTCGAACCTTCCAAACATTTAAGGGGCCATTCTACCTTGTAGGCATGAAAAATACGTGTTTCTTTGTGATTTTTTTTTGCGGATTATTAAAGAGCGATTAATTTCGGATTTTGTAGATACATTTATTATATATTTAGCTATATTTACGAATTTTTGCAACGCATAATATCTATTGATTACGCTGTTTTTGTTGATCATCAAACAACAGTTTTTACGAACGGCACCCGACTGCGTATGTGATATCTTGCGAACAAGTTATTCGAAATCCTAAAACCAACGATATTCTTAATATAGATGAGTGTGGTTATAGCATGAACTAGGATCTTTTCAAAAAAACAAAAAATGGCAAAATGGCAGCTATTTTACGAAAAAATACTGAATATTTTCATATATTTGGTTGCTTTTTTGTTAATAAAAGAAAAAGTATTGCATATATCGCAATTATCCTAGTTCATGCTATAGGGAGACCAGTTCTGAAGATACTGTATAAATTTGATGTTTATATCTTGAATAGTTTTTTAGTTATCACGCACGCAGTGACGAAAAATGTAGTTTCGAGAAAAACAGCTTTAAAGTTTCATGTCCAGTTGTTATACCTGCGCGCGGTACATTTCAACAGGCTATAACTTCGTTAGTTTTCCGAATTTCAATTTAATATTTGGTAGACATATTTTCGAGACTACATACTAAAGGAAAATGCAAAAAAGAAATATCGATTTTTTTAATCCCACAAGGTAGAAAGGCCCCTTAACCTAAATGCAATGCTCTCTACTAAAACAATAAAATTATACGCGTTAAACTTAAATTCTGAAAGTAACATGATAACTATCATAAGCTACAAGTATCGAGATCATACATACAAAATTTGAAATGAATTCGACAATATTTGTAGAAGTTATAAAACATTCTTTGGAAATATGTACCAAAACAGAATCGCAAATAATAAATAATTAAAAGAACTTAAGTTGAATTTTTAATTGAAATAGATTAATGATACATCGTTTGATAGTTTTCGCAACACAGGTGTATGACACAAGGCGCATGTGCATTAACCAAGTTAATATGCGAATTTTTATTCGCATACAATTACGATTCAATATTACTGTTGAAATTATATTGATATTGTCATAAGGGATTACTTACTTTGATAATACTGCAAAATTTAATATGTATTATACATGTAATTTTGATAAACGATTGTTCTCGAATTGCACAAAGTACAGTGGAGATCGATAAAAAGAATTTATAATTTCTGTTCTATACATTCTATTGTATTAATGCGTATCTCTTACCGTTTAATAAACTATTTCGTTCATCTCTTATCTTGACATACTTTACATACATATTGTAGAATGTGCAGCAAAAGTCAGTTTTAACTGTATTAGTAATTATGTCAACAGAAGCAAGGGGGGGGGGGGATTAGTTTCTGTCTCATTTCCTATCATTTTCTTTCACCTGTTCAATTGTCTTTTCCGATGCGTCATGTATTGCTTTCAAAAATTTTAGCAAGAAAATAAAATTAAATGACAGCATGTGAAAAGAGAAATTGACATAACGTATACAGATGCCCCACCGTGCGTCGTCGCTATTTATTTGATGTATATGATTTTGTAGCGACAAGAAGATGAAGCTACTGATATTTATCGAGATTTCCTCATGCAAATTACGAAATCAATAATAACAGAAACGAGAGAAAAAAATCTTCCAGACACTTTTATTCTTCCAATATCCGGCTCCCGCGCCATCTAATTATTTCCACGAACGAGCCGAGTGACATTTCAAATTATGTAATTAAAAAACACTTCGTGCTCGTGAAATGTAAATAAAAATAATTTAGTCGGCTGGACAGAAGAAGAATCGGGACTCCTCTGCTGAAATATCGCCTCCGTGCTCCGGGTAGAGAACGGAGGAAAAAACGTTATCGTCACGTTATCATCACGTGCTGGTGTTAGCTAATAACAAGCTAGAGGATAACGAAGAAAATTGGCACGCGTCGCGCACGCGGCCTGTCTTACTCCGTGAACGAGAAAAAAAAAAAAGATTCTTTCAGACAAACGTCCGCGACAAGACCTAAGCGGTGTCAAGTTGGAAACAATAGCAATCGCGTCATTGTCCCGGCCGTGAGGAACTGGTAAAAATCGAAAACGCGTAGCCGGAAATTGGCCACGCATCATCGTCTAATATTACTTTATTTAGTATATACATTGAGATAAATACACGTTTTTCACATACTTTATTATACTTTCGTGCACAGTGACGCTGTTACGCAACATATTTCATCGCTTCCTATTCTGCAATTACATGACGCACGACGCGTCCCTAACTGTCTACCGCTTATTCCAACTCCTTGTCAATTTATCACAAACGTCGATCGCGAGCGAAATCACGTAATTACTTTAAGTTGGGTCCGTTATTATCCATTAAGAATAGTAGTCAGTGTGTCTAGGCATTACAGTGCGAGATAAAATTATAGCCCACTTAACAATTTTGTTTACAATTAGATCTGTACAATGAGTTACAAAATTATTAACATGGGTTCATATTTTAAAAAGAAAGTGCGTATTGAAATAAAGTTGATCTTCATATGCTCTCTACAGATCTAAAGAAAATTGTCAAGAGTTCTAAAATCTGTAGGTGATGTAAGGAAATTACTAAATGTTTGTAACAATAACAACATTTATTAAAAGACTTTTTCACCGCACTATCGTGACGAGTTACACATCGACGAGAACGTCTCTTCTGCGCGCCTAGTACATATTACTTACCTTCTACAGATGGCGTAACAACCTATTTGTCGCTATTTGTACCTATGGCGTCGCCATCTACATCATGAACATAGAGCGTTCATAAACTATACAGAAAACAGGCTAGGGACTTACACTCTGTCACCACGAATTTAATTACCTTTGTTACGTCCCGAGATAGCGGTTTAGGGAAAAAGGACGGTGGGTTGGTGCCCGTGGAGCGCTGAACCGCTCTGCTCGGCGAGACGCGCAAAAATCAAACTACTACGTATGTTCGAAAAAGGGTTGGTAAAAAGTTTATTCGTCTTCGTCTCGACTTTTAGATACAACTTGGTTGACTTTCAAAATCGATCTGTTCCTCCGCGGAAATCTTCTCGTCGTCCTCGGTGTTCATCCCTTCTCCGGAATATTCCTCGATCCTCCCTCTGGATTGCCCTGGTCCAATCGGGGTTTGTGCCTTGCCCCATCCATCCGGATCGTCTTCGATCGATGATCCACCCCCGAGCCGAGTGGAGGTGGAGGTTACGCGGCCATGTTGGAGCGGGCGCGCGTGAGAGAGAGCGTGGAGGTCGAGAGAGAAAACGAGGCTAGCGGCATAAACAACCCTTAAGAAAATTTATGACCCTTGTGAAAGTAAACAAAACTCGAAGTGAAGTGTCGCGAGGCCCTGCTGTGTGTCAAGACCATTGAAACTCTTAACGGAAATAGCTAATTTGTCACGGTCCGTAATAAACTAAAGGAAGGAACGACGGAAAACAACGATGCGACGTGATCTTTAAAAAATAAACTAAGTATCTGGAATGAGGTGCCTTCCTCTCTCTCTATCTTCCCCAGCTTGATCGCCCACGTTGAAAAACATACAATTGTATTGTTTATTACAATACGCTGGTCCGTTTGGATTTCGCTCCTAACTAAAACGCAGTTACATGACTCTGCACTCGACGGTGAATAATCGGGTTACAATTCATTCCCGTTGTGGCGCTATGTGCATTCAACCTACGTTCACGTGATAGCGTAACACCTTAAAGTTTGCTCTACAATGCTGACCAACAATCAAATAAGAAACTATCGAAGATTCCCTAGGCTACAGGAATTTTAATGGAGTTACATGATTGCATACTCGATGGTTATTAATCGAGTTTCCATTAATTCCCGTTGCGGCGCTATATGTACTAAACCTAAATTCACGCAATAGCGTAACAAGATTATCTAATATTCAAACACAAAGTAATATTAAAAGTAAATTTATGAAATAAACCACAATGATAAGAAAAACCTTCTTCCCTTTTGTTTTAAATTATTTCAATACGACTAATAATACTATAATTTCATTTTAAATTGTCCTATACCAAGCTAAATTGTAAATGGAACTTTCTAGAAATCTTTACACATTATATTAAGCGTCACTATGTACATACATTTATATAATTTAGTAAAATAATGCTATTGCATTACAAAACTTTATTGTATTTTATTAATATGTTATATTCTGAATAATTCTCCATAATAAATTACATTAAATAGTATTCGAATTTGGCTATTCTACAACTTTACACTAGTAATAATCTCCACTGCCCCCTTCCTATTCTTTAATTAAAAAGGAAAATAAAACAAATATATAAACATGATGACATCTCTCAAATCAAACAGTTTTTATCATTTTTGCAAGAAACTTGTTAGAGAAAATAATATAATAATAATTACTTGTAACGTAATATGTACAAATAATTCATAAAATATAAAGTACTAATATCAAAGCGTAGATTTTATCGTTTTTTATTTTTCGTAGATGATTTTTAACAAACAAAATTCTGTCATTTATAAATAAATATTGTAGTCGTTAAAATATATATACTATACGTAAAATGTAATGTTTACCGATTGCAAATATTAAGTTTTATGATTGTAAATTGTATTACGAATATAATATTAGTCAAAATAAATCCAATGTATGTAATTGTGTTTTCCGTTTATTTCTATTGATAAATGTGTAAAATACAAAATCATTTAGTATATTTTTTCTATAACGAATAATTTCCGTTGAAGATGAAATAATTGAATCATTAATGAATTCAAGGGCTTTTGCATTAGTGTAGCCCCCACTTGCCAATCAATTATTATCAATATAGCTTGTTGACACGCATGACTTCCAGTTACTGTCGAACTCCACTATAGTGTAGCACACGTTTACGTGACACATATGTACATTTGGCATATTTCAATGTTTTGTGGTTTATATGTATTAGATTTATTGAAAAATTCTGGTCATTTGTCACGTAATTACAGCAGATATATGGAAAGTTTTTTTTTTTGCCATAAAAATGGAATGAAGTTGCTAAAACTGACGAAAATTACATTGTAAATTAAATATTAATAAACAGTATAAAAATGTACTATTTAATTTTACTTAAAGAATAGCCAGAACTTTCCAATAGAACTAATATTATCAATTTGAGTGTACAATATGTTTTTTTACTTATGGCTCAAAAAATAATTATAAAACTCGAGTATTTGTTATGTAAATTTATAATGCATTTTTTAAATATACATACAGTGAAATATATATAAAGTGTAATTTATTTAATTAATTGAAATAACACTAAGAGTTTCTTACTTATTTACAGATAACATTTAATCATGGAACAAATATGCGAAGAACCACATCTTAATATAACAATAGATGAAAATGAAATTATTGATGGTGCTAAAGAAATAATTAAAAGAATTAGGCAAACATGGCCCTTAGATAAGCTAAATTTTAAGGTAACAAATTAAAAAGGTGTATATATTTTTTAATGCTTTGACATTATGCATTTTGTTTTTTAAGCTATTATATGCTTTCATTAACATTTTCATAAACTTCCAGTAAACTGTTTAATGTACATACATTAACATTCCTTATATTTTTTATAATTAATTTTCTTTTCAATTTGTACAGTGCAATACAATGGTTAATATGAAAATCATGGTAATAAAAGAACTAACTTTATATCCTTATCTGTAACTTATCTTTCGGTAACAAGTTTGTTTTTCTTGAATTCTTATCATTTGGAACAAAAATCACAGTACTATATTATGAATTTGATTTACTCCTCTAATAATAGTGATTGTGAGAGAGATCAATTTATTTATTGTATACTTTTTGTCATTAAATCAAATTGACTTAAAAAAATGATTTCATACCTGTATTAAATGTATTTTAATTCTTCATACATTAATGATAAAAAAAAATGATTAAAAAAAAAGATAGGTAAACTTTATTTTCAGATATTTACTGATGGAATTACAAATAAACTTATAGGAGTGTGGTATTCTGGACATTACAATGATATGGTTTTGGTCAGGGTATATGGGCATAAAACAGATTTGCTGATTAATCGTAAAGACGAAACAAGAAATATTCGAGTGAGTGTAAATATTATAGAAAAAACAAAGGTAAATCAAACGAGTACAAAGAAATATATATCTATATTTTCAACAGATATTAAACAAAGCAGGTTTTACACATTCGATTTATGCTACATTTAATAATGGTTTAGCTTATCAGTTTATTGAAGGTATTACACTTACAACAGAAATGGTAAGAAATCCTGATGTGTATACTTTGATTGCTAAGAAAATGGCTCAAATGCATAAACTGAAACCGGATGATGCCGAAATACCCAAAGATGCATGTATTTGGAATAAAATAGAAAAATTTATGGAAATTATGCCAAAAGAATTTTTCGATGAACTGAAGCAGACAAGGTAATATCGCACTATAATAAAAAATATCAAGTTTGGATCTGTATTTTTTCTTTTTTTACTTATTATTCTTGCTTTCAGATTTGTGAAACTTATAAAACCAGTTAGCGTGTTAAAACAAAATTATCAGCTCTTAAAGAAGACACTTTTAGATTTGAATAGCGAAGTAGTCTTTGCCCATAATGATTTGCTTCTAGGAAATGTACTTTACAATCGGAAGGAAAATATTGTTACATTTATTGATTTTGAATATACTGCATACAATTATCAAGCTTTTGATATAGCTAATCATTTCGCAGAATTTGCTGGTAATTTAAATCTATTTTTATGCGATATTTCATATGTGGTATATTTTTAATTTTTATACTATCTTTGTATGTACGAAAAATATGTAAAATTATATTCAGGTAGATAAAATTTTGTTTTAGGTATTGATAATCCTGATTATTCTTTGTATCCTGAAGAAGAATTGCAAAAAACGTGGCTAAATATATATCTTCAGGAATACAATAATGTAAACTATGTACCTGAAAATGAAATTAATTTACTGTATATACAAGTAAATAAATTTGTTCTTTTGTCACACTTTTTTTGGGGTTGTTGGGGACTTATACAGAGCGAACATTCAACAATTGACTTTGATTTTTTAAAGTAAGTACAGTCAGAAAGTGTTATAAATGATAAGTAGGTATGTATTAGAAAGTTTTGTGCATTTTTTACTGAAAATTTTTGTAACAATTTTTTACTATACCTTATGATTGATACTGTAGAAGTATATTTATAAAATTATCTCTTATCATTCAGTATGATATTTTATAGGTATGCTGCAATACGATTTAATGAATATTTCAAGTGGAAAGAAGAATACCTTCACATAAAATTATAAAATTTTAAATAACTTTTTATTTTGACGATTTTATATATTTAATTGAACTAGCATTCCTACAGTTTTACTATAATCAATATTTTACATTCTGTTATGTACAAATGAACATTTTATAACAAAAGGTATATATGTATATACATACACAAACACAAAGCTCTGTTATAAACTTACATAAATGTAATATCATATTTACCAGTATTATGTAGATAATGTACAAATATTATTGTTAAATTTATATATATATATAAAGTGTTATCTTCGGAATATAACGTTGTTTAAAAAAGGACACCAAATTTTTGTATTTATAAATAGAAATATATTTTCATACAACCTGTAATGTCCCTGCGCATATCCTTAATGTTTAAGAACCTCCAGATTTACAATCTGTTACGTTCAATCACCTTTTCTACATATAGAAACGCGAACGAAACAGAATGCTTTGAAAAGAAACATCGAAATTACTTTTAGTCTCGAACCCATATTAAAATTACTTCTGGGTTTAGTCAAGCTATATATTATTTGCGTTTCGTAAAATTACTTGTTAAATAAATCTTCGATATCCGCATTTTGTCCGATATTATCAAATAAAACAAGAATTATTGAACTTAGAAACCAGGAATTATATGTTATAAGTGCAATTTCGAATAATCTTGCGCCGTAGATGTGCATATACACATTATATTCAAACTGTTAAACCGAAGTCATATGGTAAAGTCAGTCGTTTGACTAGCAAGTATGTTTTTGTCTGTGAGGTGATCACGTACGCATTGCACTCACTATAAATCAGTGTTTATTTTTAGTAGAGGCTTCGAAGATTTTCAGAAATACTTGTAAATACGCGCGTTGTAGCCAAGAAATGTAGAAATTTACAATTTAATCCAACTACGAATGGCCGTTCGGAACAATTTATGCGAAAATTCTGACTATTGATATTCAAAACTGCCCGTATCCATATATAGTGAAAACGAACTCTCAGACGCAAATATATTCAACAGAACCACGAGCATCCGTAATTCGTTTACTTGGCTTTGAGTGTGCGTACCTGTCACAATATACAGATTAACACACGGAACGAATCAAACAACAGTCGAATCGAACGCCAATAATACTGCCGACGGAGTGTTTATTTTTCTTTTCGACAGTAGATACCTTTCCATCGAAGTATTTTCATTAATCGAACACAGTGTATTATTATTTGAAACTTAAACAATAGCGCGAAACACACAGTGTTGCCACAAACCTACTCGTCGAATCAAGCCAATATTGTTTTATACTTTCTCTTGTTTCGTTCTAATTAGGTACTCACGAAAGCTTCGGTTGGTTCTAATCTTAAAAGCCGAACGTTATTTAAAAAAAGAAAACGGGGAAAGGGATATTTCGAAATATATTCGGAATTTCACGAAAAAAATTGAATGAATTGTGCATATAAGTTGTGCATGAGTCCCGGCATCGTGAGACAGTGTTCCGATTTTTAAAATTTCTTTTTGGAATACATTGTGTACTGATTGTGTAAGATGCATATTGTGTGCAAATGTTTGAACGTGTCCATTAAATCCAGGGGCACTGAACTACAAAAGGTCAACATTGACGATATTGAATTGACACCTCAAGAGCAGACCGACGGTTTCTTTCGTCAGGTGAAAGAAATAACTTTTTTTATAATAATTGTCATAAATATTTACGAAACCTTTCAGTCTCTTATGAATGTTGAATTTACATATCAATGATCGATGAATATTTTTTTTATGTAAGTCACAATAATTTTTTTTTAAACTTCTAATAGTTTCTTTTAGTCGATATATAAAGTATATTTAATGAAATTATGTTATAGTAAAATAAGCAGTATTTATTTAATAATAATAAATTCTATTCTTCAAATAGTATAAAAGAATATAATACTTTTTAATGAAAATATTCTTTTTGTCCTAAACAGAATCTTGCAACAATATCAGAACTTGATGGTATCACTAAAGAACAACCAGGTTTAGTGGAGATAAGGAATGTAGGATCATGGGTTATTCATCGTTGTTATAATTGCTCAATGTACACACATGCTATACACAAAGATTATGGTGCTGCTTTAGTTCTTATTAATAGTGATATTGTTGTAAGTATAAATTTCCCTATAACAATAAAGTGTAGGGCAATTGGTTTGTTAGAACTTTTATTTCATCAATCAACTTTATATATTTCTTTTTATTTAAGCTTAATATAAGTTATAATTTAATTAATTAGTTTAATTATTAATTCTTTCTCAAATAATAGACCAGAAAGTGTGCCTAATTATAAAGTTAAATCTAAATTCATGTTGTCGATCTTAATTTGTGCGCATTTTATTTTTATTACATTGTGCTTTTTATTGTAGACTTCGACCGAAGAAATAAACATATTAAAGTCCAATCCAGATTGTAGTCCAATATTTAGAATAATACTTGCTCACAATACTTTGGATGAATTTGATTACCTGCAGCCCACCAAATTTTCTGGTAAATTAATTAATAATTACAAGTGTTTACTAGTCGGGTGTGATTTAAACATAAGTTTGAAATGATGAAAAGTAAAGATGCATTTCAGTCTTTGTTTAGAATATATACGTATTTGTTATATATTTTATTTCATTTATCCAGTATCACAGCTACCCAACAATATACAAGTGGCTTTGGGTGGTCTCCAAAAGCAGCTCGAAGAAGCTGTTCAACGACAGTCTGCAGAAATAGAAGATAAAATTCGTGTTTTCACATCAGAGCAGTATCAATTATTAGAGCAGTTCCGTGAGAGAGCTCATAAGGAGCACAGAATATTAACAAGGTCTTACACGCAAATCACTGATATACGGTATTATTTCGTAAACAGTAAATTTATATCTATACATATTTCGCAGGTTAATATCCAAAGAAGAGGAAACAAATAGATTAACAAATAATATAGAAACACCTCCTACAACTCCAGATAGTTTTACAACCAGTTTAACTACCTCTACAGCTAATATGGTAAATCCGATGTCACAAGTAATATCAGACGAAACAAAAATTATTACTGGTCCTAATGTTAAACATGAAGCAGGTGCTAAATATTCTCCTAATAATTCTCTTGTTGTAAGTTCATTGTACATTTAAAAATATACTCACAAATGATTATTTTAAATATGTAATATAAAATATTTGATTAATGTTTCATAGAATGGTAATGTAGATAAGAAAGATCTATTATACAGATATACTAAAGAACAAACTAGTTTTGACACAGAAGCTTTATTTCCGTTGGAAGGAATGGAAGAATCCCAGATTATTAACCCTGTTCAATCTTCGGAAGAAGGATCTGATACAGATGGTACGTTTTCGTTATGTAAATCTTAATTTGAATGTAACTACGTGGGTAATATTATCGATGTCTTATTCAGATTCAGGCCAAGATGAAGGTATTCACATGCCAAGAGGACAGAGAGGTGGACATCCAACATTAGCTAAATCATTACCAGTTAGTGTTCCATCTTTTCCTTCGTTTGTACGTAGAACAGTTCAAGATCAGGATGATGATCAGGTATAAATATATATTTACTTCTTCTCCAGAGTTTAAACTATTATTATTGATAATATAGTTATATGTAATTATGGTATATACACTGTCATACGTGAGTGTATACAGTAGTGCCCACATAAGTTACCGCGGTTATCCCCACTAATTCTTAGAAGCCAAGCGGCTTCGACATCGAGCGTATCAAGCGTAACTTGACGCCGGTCGTTATCGATAGATTATACATATACAGGGTGTTCGGCCACCCCAGGGAAAAATTTTAATGGGGGATTCTCGAGGCCAAAATAAGACGAAAATCAAGAATACCAATTTGTTGATGGAGGCTTTGTTAAAAAGTTATTAACGTTTAAAGTTCCGCCCGTACTGAATTTTTTTCTCGAAAATGTGCAGGATTACGAGGGTATGTCTATTCATAAAAAATGATTGTAATTGGCCCCCGCAATCGAAAATAATTTTTCCAGAATGATTTGAAATTTTTGAATTTAATTCTTAATAACTTTTTAACGAAGCCGCCATCAACAAATTGGTATTCTTGATTTTCGTCTTATTTTGGCCTCTGGAATCCCCCATTAAAATTTTTCCCAGGGGTGGCCGAACATCCTGTATATGGTTTCGGGTGCCAATTATTACATCTTACTCGCACTTATCCTCTTTCCTCATCTCTGTTGAATTTTGAGAAGTAATCATACCCACATAAATGACCGCGGCCGGTCCCGAGCTTGGTCATTTATGTGGGCACTACTGTATATTACAAACTAATAGATTTGACTAAAATCAATAAAATGCTATTTCAGTTGTCAAGAGATCCACATGATCCACATAATATACGAGCTTCAATTAAAGCTTTAGCTAAGAGCGTTCATGGCGATACAGTATTTGGAGACTTGCCACGTCCTCGATTCTCCACTCAAATCTGACTTTGCAACAATTTTAAAGAAAGAGAACGAGTTTACGATAAGAAAATAACATACATATAAAGTACCTATTATCCGTAATTTGTCTTTCAGTGAATGCTACAAGAGATTGATGTATGCAAAGACAGAAAATAAACATAGAAGTCTATAGACGTATTGATATTTTGCATATTTTGAATACATTTTAAAGTCAAAATGTTTTTCAAATCATGACTTTGTTAGTTTGTTCAGTTATTTTGTACAATGGAAGGATTTTTATATCTGCTGTGTTTCGAAGCTGTAAAATAGATGTGCTATATGTTTATTATTGGTCATGTAACGTATAATTTAACGAAATTTTTAGATTTCAAAAAGGAGTACAACGTGAAATTTATGATGCCATATCTGAAATAAAATCAATCTAGAAACAAATTAAGGAACAACAAAGAAAGTTTCTTATGTATCAATTAGTAACTAAGCTATTGGAACGATAATTTTACTATGATAGTTATTATTTTTACAACGTACTATTATCCTTAGCTATAGAAAAACTCATCATAAGTTATGTCAATAACTTTAATAACAGATTATTGTTATAGACTGCACTCATGTTATACATAATGTTTTACTATATTACATCAGTTCTTCATATTTGTTCAGTTTGTTTAGAATACCCAGTTCTTTATCAAGTAAGAGAGTTATGCATTTCTCGTGTAGATTCTATCATGCTCTTTTTTTTATTAATAATACTGGCATTAAGTTACATTTAGTGCAACTATGTAAAATGTTTATTAGTAGTATTTATTTTTTCTAAAAAAAGTACTATTTTTCACTACTATGTTGCAAATGACTATTTTCCATTACTTTCAAATATAATATCTGGGAATATTCATATAAAAAAAATTCATAATTTTTTTTATGTTTACTACGTGGTCTCTTAATATACGTATTTTGTGTCCAACTGCTGACTAACTAATAATCTTTAGTTCATTTATTAGTAAAATTAAAATCATATTTTCAGAAAGTAAACATTACGTTTCCAGGAAATATTTTTACTTATGTATTGTTTTTGTAAACGTATATACATGAACTTAAGACAGTATACAATGTATATGTTGCTATATAGAAATGTACGTAAAACATATTGAAAAGAAAAAAAAAAAAATGATTTATGTACGATTCTGTACAAACACGTTAAATTATGGTTAATGTTAAAATAGATAGTTTTAATTTACTTATATATTTTGAATTTGCTTCAGGCCACTTGCTGTGTTACTTTTTTATAGATTTATATCATTAGTTTCTTAAGGTTTATAATTTTTGTACGAATCAACAATCATGTGATAAGCAACAAGTTACAGATTAGAGACAAACAATGAAGCGAATTAGTACAAAAAAATATGTGGCTTTTCTAATCATGTAATGCACAATTATGAAATTGTATATCAATGTTCTATCGGTCAAATTGTAAAATGTCAAAAATGCTTCTACGATAAATCTTTGTCATATATAAAATTGATTATTGAAAATAAAGTGTTGCTATATGAAGAGAAAATAAAAAAAAATACATAATCAGATTATCATCGGTGCTTTTATTTCAAGATCCTTTACATTGTATAATGTAATATGTTTCAGTCGTTTCCTCTTTTACAAACTTGTATAAAAGATGTTCTAAAAATGCAAAAGATCTAGCATTCATGTAATTGATCGTAAAATTACATGATTTTAAACAGTATGGTAATATGTTACAAGATTTATCGTAATTATTTCATCACGAAAAATAATAGAAATAAATTTTCTTTTTGAGAAAAAAGTTACTGTAATATTATTATTTTTGCAAATATTTAATAAAAAACGAGAAAAATGTATTATACAACCTTAAAGATTATATTATGCAATTGAAATTTCCGTAAACAATTTCTTATTACCACCAATATCTTAATTGTGTGATTTGTCTCATTATAAATAATACTGTTGTTGAACGACACATTTATTTATTCAGGCAAAATTATGAAGTAATTAATTAAAAAATTAATTAATTGCAATTTTCATTTAATCGTTGTATACGTAAGTTATCAATTTTATATGTATATACAACCTCGGTTATCAATGGTTGATTACGACTTTATTTTTTGCAGCAAGCTCCATTTGTGCAGCGGCAACAGATTTCATACCCTCTTGAACATTTGATAAATTTGCTTTCCAGGCTGCTAATAAATCACGTAGCTGCATCCACTGTGGCCGACCAAACGTTCTATGCATAGTACTTGAAATAAGAACTTTGCGACCAGCTTGATCCATACGAGCTCTAACGAGTTTTGTTTTTAGTACTGAAATATTAATACATATTTTTTTCACATAAACATGCATTTAAAAAAATTTATAAAATAAATTTTAACAACAATGTGAATGTCGAATACACGGATAACTTAATAAAAGAAAAGTTTTATTAAGCCAGTACTGATTCTTTTATATACCCTGCATATATTATCTCTATTTTTACGATTAAGCCTGGAGATTAGTTTCATTTATGCAGGGTAACGCGTGTTCACTATTTTAAAGCAAACTAAGTAACATACATGTTTTAATTACGTACCATCAATAATGAAGCTTTCCACTTCATCTTCTGTAATCTGCAATTCCTCCTGTATTGTGTCAAATGACATTTCAGGGTTCGTTTCCGCTAATTGCATGAATGTTAATAATCTCATTTTCTTCATGTTCTGTTCGTGATTTAATCCTACAAAGTGAATGTATAATGTATCATTTTTATTAACAATAATATTTTGAACGTTTAATTAAATGCTTAAATACCAAGTTGATGTTCTACGAATTCCTTGTGATGTTGATAAAAGTGTAGGTATCCAGGTAATTTATCTTTCACAAATACCAAAAGTAAATCATGAATGAGTTCCCCTTCTAAGAATTTCACTGGTTTTAATGCAAGTAACGGATCAAGTAGAAATGTGTTTGGATCTGCTAATGCAGCTAAAATACAACGTTGTGCATCTTCTCTGGCTGCAGAAGCATTTTCTGCTGTATAAGTTCCTAATAGTTCCACCATAACTGCAGCAGCCTGTTCTCTGTATAATTTTTTTTTTTACTCAATATGTATCACTACATTTCATTAAATGATTCTAAAATAAAATTTAACTTACCCTTGTTTGCAACTTAAAAGTACTTCATGAAGTAACCTTAGTAATTTTTGCATTTGTTCGGTCGATGGTGGGAATGATGCAAATTGTTGTTTCAATTGTTGTATTCCTCCGTACACTGCTTTTACTTGTTCCACATTGCGTGCAATTTGAACTATGTGGTAATAAACATGATATCTCATTGGAGAGTCATCAGAAAGAGATTGGAATAACAACCATAATCTAGAAATATTTTAGATTATATTATCATATCGAAACGTTTATAACATTTGTAGTATTTGGTTAAACTTTGTTTTGAGGGATTAAAAATTTTAGCCTATTTTTCTATCATTAATAAAATAATTTTTGTCATTAATACCTAAAACAAAGCACAGCCCAATGTTCTTATCAACTTACGCTTTTAAGCACACTAAACCAAGTTTGTAACCAGGCGCTTTGGTTAGTTTTTCACAAAATGCTAATATTAAATTTTCTGCCCGTTCCGTAGGAATCTATAACAATAAATTTAAAATAATTTATTAACTTTAGGCTATTGAAACATATACAATCTTGATATATGAAAACGCACGGTACTTACCACTATCATAATTGATACAATGTCATTTAACACAGTTTCAATTTCATTTTCGTTACCCTCTTTAAAACAGGCTTCACACACGCCAATAATTTTGTGCAAATCATCCTCGATACCCTTCGGAGATTTTTCTTCGCTAATTTCAGCACCCAAACCTTTAAAATATACCCTCAGTTCCTGTGCCTAGAGGCCAATGAGTAATACAAAATATTTATTTTAACTACATATATTTAACAAAAGAGAATGTTAGAGTCAATTCTAGTAAGGATATTCGAAAGAATAATAAAAAAAAAAATTGTTAATAAAAAAAATTTGTTGAAAACTTGGTATAACCTAGAACTTGCAGATGTTTATAGCGATAAATTAATTTACGATATAATAACATTTTAAAAACAGCATTGTAAAGGTTCAATCATTTAACATAATGTAAATATGTTTTACCTGATCTTCTAAAGGTAATTCCATAAAAATCGCTGGAACCTGCATTTTTATAAGTACTACCACGTTTCTATAGACTAAAGTTTGTTAGTAGAGAGAGACCGACAGACTATTCGAAATCAAAGTATTGAATCACATGGAATGAGAGAAACATACATGCAAAGAAAAGAGTAGCTCATTGTTACCAAACGCGAAACCGGTGCCACTCTCTATTTAGAGAAAAATAAAATAATATTACCAACTTAAATGTTCATTCAGATTTCGGCGGCGATTGGCAAACTTCGGTAAATTTGAACCGATTTGTTTTAATTTTAATACCGTGAATTATGAATACGGATGTCATTTGTTTTTTTGCGATTTTCAATTTTATCACGTAAGAATAAAAATAAGCTGCGACGAACTAAGCTAATAAAGCTTAAATAATGCCACTTAGCGATTCAGTCGTGCGATAACTATAAACTTGTGAGGACATGCGTTGGCGTGTGATTTCCGTCAATAGCATTATTAATGCACTCTTGCCTATTGGTACATATGTATCTACATATATCCACATAGTTAAAACGCGAATCCCGCCACATAAATTCTGATTAGTTGTAAATTGAACTTTAATTTTTCTAAAGTCACCAGTTTGTATTTGTATACAAAAATTCTACGTCAGGTTATGTTCGATACTTTGGCGACTTCAGAATAGAAAACATTTTCTATTTAAAAGAAGTACGTATGTACGTTCAATTCTCGGTTACAAAGCACCGTGTTAACAATGTGTGATTATTAAAGTCTTATACCGAACGATCTTCATATCTTTATTTATATTTTTTTTCGTGAAAAACCTATTTTTGAATATAGTAGTTTCCGGTACGTTTCCACCACTTCCGTGGACGGCCATTTTATAAGACGCTTCGTGTTCGCGTATGTTTGCATGTACGGTGTCTTTTATTCTTTTTAATTGCGAACTTCGAAATAAATTCTTGAAGTAGTTTAAATCGTTTGTGCGGTGAAAGAGGCCTCAAGGATGATCAAGCAAGAGGAGTAAGTATGAAATAAGCATTTATACAAATTTTGCGACGTTTCCCTTATCGGCGTACAGAATCGTGGACGATTAACGTAAACCAACGCTAATTATTTCATTACGTCGCTGGCGTATATTTTTTAAGAAACATTTTTGTTAGTCCCGCAATATTAGCAGAAATTTCTATAGGTTATGAAACAGGCTATGCATGTTACATTTTATATACATTATCAAGAATAATAGCTAAAGCCATCTTCTCATGCACGTTACATCTATGTGCTTTTATTAAAATTAGGAGTCAAATACCAAATAATGATGAAAGAGACAGAAGTAGGGAACGTGATCGTAATCGACGATCGGATAGACAAACTCGCATAAATTCTACTAGCCGTGATCGAAGCAGAGAACGTAACGATCGTGGTGGCAGAAAAGCATCAGATCGTCGTATTTATGTATCGAACATTCCCTACGATTTTCGATGGCAAGATCTTAAAGATCTTTTTCGAACCGAGGTCGGAAAAGTCGCGCACGTTGAACTTTTCACAGATGAAAATGACAAACCAAGAGGCTGTGGCATTGTTGAATTTGAAGATTCAGATTCTGTAAAGGTTGCTGTAGAAAAAATGCACAGATACGATATCAAAGGGAGAAAACTTGTGGTAAAAGAGGTAGTTAGTATATTGTTATTGTTACAAACTTGATACAACTTTAAATTGATAATATTTACAGTGTTGGGTATAGGCTTTATAATGTTCTTTCATTTTAGGACTTTGACATTGAACGTGATAAATATGGTCGTTTGGCAACAGCTCGTAACAATGACAGAGTTCGTGATGACAGATTTAGGGATCCACCCAGACCACAGGGTGGTGGGAGACAAAATATGAATGCTCCTAGTGGTGGCGGTGGTGGTGGTGGTGGAGGCGGCGGCGGTGGGGGTGGTGGAGGTGGCGGAGGCGGTGATAATAAATTTGGAAATACCTATGGTCTAAGTACCCAGTTTTTAGAATCCTTAGGCATTAACGGGCCATTAGTTACTAGAGTATTTGTGGCAAACGTAAGTGCATCTTAGTATAAGAAATATAATAAACCATTATATCATTCTATAATGTAAACATGAGTTCTGTACTTTGTATACTTAGCTTGATTATAAAGTGGATGAAAAGAAGTTGTTAGAAGTATTCAAATTAGCTGGTAAAGTGCTGCATGTTGAGTTAGGGAAGGATAAAGATGGAAAATCGCGAGGATTCGGAGTTGTAGAATATGATCATCCGGTAGAGTCGGTACAGGCTATATCCATGCTTCACAATCAGCAACTTTTCGACAGGCGTATGACTGTTCGACTCGATAGAGCAAATGAACCAGACATGCCGCCAAAATTACCAGAAGGTATGTACTAGTACCTATTATACTTAAAATTTATTATCTGGGTAAAGAAATTGAGGTAAATCTTAAATGGAAAATAGGTTTGAAGGGAATTGGAATGGGCCTTGGAGCTGGTGGAAATAGATTAATGGATGTAGCTAGAAATATTCCCAATGTTCAAGCAAACAATCCACCAGTTGTAAATCCTATTTCTGCTCCTGTCTTGGCTGCTGGAGCCTTTGGTGCTGGTTTAAATAACGTTGTACCTGCACAATTAGGTAAGTTCCGAAGTTACATAATGGATATAATTATGTTAATACATGTAACAAGGAAATACTGAAAAAAATATTTGTGTGTTTGCAGCATCCGCGTTGACAAACACAAATGCTGCAGCTCTTCAAGCAAGCCTTGCTGGAGGTTTAAGTGCAAACTTGACCACCAGTTCTCTGCTGAATTCATCTTTGACAAATGAATTGGCTTCTAATTTAAATAGTTTTGGCGGAGGAGTCGGAGGTTTGTCTAATTTACAGGCCTCATTATCTGGCGGAGGAGGCAACAATTCGTTCGCACCGCGAGGCTTATCTAAAATGGACAATGATGTAGGCTTCGGTGGAAACAATGCTTTTGGTGGTTCTAACTTCGGCGGCGGCAGAGATTTTGACAGTGGATTCAACAGAGACAATGATCGCGGTCCCGGCGGCGGCGGTGGTGGTTTTGTCGGGAATCAAGGTCAAGGAGGAGGTGGTAACAGACAGAATACGAATGGTTCGCGACCGATGTCGGATACTGTTCTTATAGGAAATGTGAGTTATATTTTTTTATCTTATTTTCTCTAAAGGTAATATTTTTCGAGATGTTCAGCTACTAAAGTACATACTAATATTTAACTTGGACTGATTTTTAATCGTAGTTTTAAAGTCGTTTTTCGAATAGAACATTTTCTAAGACTATTCGGATGGCTCGGCTTAAGTACTTCGCCCTAGATAATTTATGAACAAAAATTTGTTCTTTAAACTTAAATAAAGTTTATGTATTTGTATATGCGTGTGATTGTTACAGCTACCACCAAACACGACGTGGCAAATGTTACGTGATAAATTTCAAGATGTTGGGGAGGTCAAATTTGCTGAAATGCGGGGCACCGACATGGGAATGGTGCGATTCGCAAATGAATGGGATGCTGACCGTGCTGTGTGTATCCTTTCACAAATATACTTTTCAAAGTAAAACTATTTGCATTATGTAATACGCGACATATACAAATATATTTAAAGAATGTATATGTTTAGTATTACATAATAGAAATTGTTTTAATATTATTTTTATACGAAAATGTATTCGAAACGGAGACTAACATTTGAATGATTTTTCTTAATAATATGCATAGCTATGATGAATCGATCACGTATTGACGGCAGAACGATTGATGTTCGTCTGTACTAAAAGCTGGAAAACACACTTAAGGTAACATTAATAGAGAGCCTCTACAGAGCTTGATGCTTAACCGTAACTTATTGATGCAGCGAGAGGAGACTGGGGTGTTCGTATGTCGTCTGCAGGATTGTTCCACTCCTGATGACAATACTTGAAATTCATCCTAGTTGTGTGGCAGAACTTAGGACAGTGGGTGAGAAGTATCTGTCGTTGGAAGATCAACAATCGTGTTTTAATGCCTACTTCAACGTCGAAACACTTATTGGCTGCCGGTGATCACCCTTCCTTTCTACGACTGTTTCACTTAAAATTCTTTACCAGATTATCGTTCCTTTTTACAGTGGAAGTCTATTAATGGTTCACTCCCAAAATCAGTTTTTTCGAGTGATTGATACATAGTTTAATTGTTAGGTTTAGGTTCATAATGTTCAACGTAATCTGTAGGTTTTTCAGTATGTAGGAGTATGCTATTTACAGTAATTATCAAACGTAGCTTGTAAGTTTATTTCTTAGTTTTCATGACGAGAGATCAATCAGTTTTCCCACATTCCGGTTGAACGTGACGCTCTGGTCGTTCGCGGACTGGTCAATCGATCAGGGACGGATTAATCTTTCAAGCATAAATATTTACGCGATATAGCTATTACGGGCTTTACAAGTTAAAGTTTATCCATGTATGATAGATACTTTCATGCACAATCCTACACAGATCGTGGATGTGTGTCGATTTTTCTGTGGTATCGGTCGCAATCTATTCTTGTATCTAATACATAACAAGATACATCATGGCTCAACAGGGGACTGTGTATTGTTTCCATTGTAGTTCTACGGTCTGATCTTTTACTCGTCGCGCCACATCGTTCTAGTAATTTGGAGATTCAAGTAGTGTATAAAAATTTTAGTTGTCATTAGGATGGTCCCTTCTAGTTCACTCGCTTTGAGACTTCAGCGAACGAACATTGGATGACTTTGTACCCAAAATTTGGCAGAATTGTCGTACGAATTGTGCATCATAATATGTTTACCAAAAAATACGAAATACGAATGTTTCTCCAAAGGGCGAACAATTTTTAATATCTTCTGGTGTTGAAAGAAATGAACATAAAATAGGGGGTTTCCAGCTAATTTTATAACCAAATTTTTTGGTAAACATATTTTCTCTCGCCATGTAGATCTCGAGGAACATTCTGCGAATTGTATAACACTCTTGTATAACCACAACATCATGACAGTGATTGAATAAAATCCAAATCCGTTTTGACTACAAAAAACATACTGGTCGTTGTGTTTTATTTCTGTGTTGTTGTGATTCTTTATACTTTAAGCAGGTCAAGCTGTGGATATGCATTGGCAAGGAGATATATATATCGTTTCTGCAATTTATGTGTGTAATATATTTTTGCAGGATGAGAATTCCAACTCCATTGCACTTTAAACTGGAATTTCTGCTTAAAGATTTTACAATGTGTTCTTTAGATGTAGATATCCCTATTTACTTTTGAGATACTGAAGCTCTGCAATCCTTATGATGAATATTTGTTTAAATCGCAGGTGAGATACTTTTTCAGGTGATTGTGGTTTGCTATTCCTCTATGCTGAATGTATTTCAAGAAGGAATAATTTGCTTGAAATCTGTTATCAAAAATTTTATCCTGTTGTACTGGAACATTGTTAAAACAATATTCGGATCGTCAAGTTATACATAGTATTCTTTCTCTGAAGATTGTTAACACAGTTTTACTGTAGATTGAAGTAGTGTCTTAAAAAGGTTTCAGGGGAAGTTAAGACTAGATGGTAATGTGGCATTTCGTTCCTAACACTGTGGTTGATTCTTATTTATTATAGCATTGAGAGTGCATCTTCCACATTCACTGATAATGATGTTTGGTCTTAAAAAATTGCAAAATTTTATATGTTCTATGTTGACTGATGTAATTTAAGAAGCGAACCCTCGGTTTGGTAATTATAACTTCTATGGTAAGTGCTGGCGAATTTTTTATATTCTGGTCTTTGCTACAGTTGCCAAGGAAACATTTAATGCGTGTTATTATGCATATTGTTACCTTTTTAATAATCGTCGTCGATCTTCGCTGTGTGGTTGCCAAATTTGTTTCTTAACATTTGAAGGACGTTGTATCTTTTTTTCTTATAGTATCATTGATGTTAGATAGGGTCTTATTTAATAACGCATGGGATCGTGTGCAATGGTGTTTGCTGTACTATTTCCGTCGTAAGTGATCAGACATTCGTGTTTTTACTATTCCATGAGAAATGTTAGTGGAAGGATTTATGTAACCATTCCTATGAATATTGGAAACTTAGGGACAATAGAATTTTCTCCTTGATATAATTCATACATGTTGTGGTGGCCAAACATTTATTTAAAAGGAAAGGCATTAGATATTATTTATAAAAATCAAATTTTTAGGATGCTGGTGCGGATTAAATATATTTTGGATATATTATTAACTGGTGAATAGCAGCCAACACTTTACACGAAAATGAGGTAAGTCTAAGAATTACAAAAACAGATTTTTATGTATATATGTTCTTCTTCCAGGAAAGCTATCTTGCCTGATCACAAGGTTGTCGAATGGTAAGTGTCGTAAGGTGAAATTCAGTGTTATATTTACGAATAGAAATACAATAGTGTCTGTTTATATACATAAGTTCTGCTCGGATATATGGAAAAGAATTATCCTCGCCACAATTTTCTTTTCTGGCGTACGAGACCGGTAAACTCGAACAACCAAGTAAACAAAACTCTGCTCTTAAAGCTATAAAACTGTTGTCACACCATACATTTTAGCTTGATATAAAAAAAAAATGATAATTCAATTCCTAGAATGAATTTTAGATTTAGATTTGGGTAGCCCGTTGTTTTCTTAAATTATTTATTGTTTATTTTTGTATATAACCGGAAACTATTGCAAATAAACATTGCGTTATAATATTAATCACATTTGTATTTCCACAGTATTTATATTATAAAACAGTTAAATTGGGTGAGTATAAGATATTTTTTTTAGAGAATCAGTGTTTGTGAAAAACGATAAAAGTGTGTGAATCAATCGCCGAGATAAAAAAAAAACCTGTTTGAAAAGTATAAATATGTTGAGTTTGAAACACCGTCGACGAAATTATAAACTCTGTGTGGTTTGTTTAAAATTTTGCTACAATTGTGTTATTTAGTGTCAAGTGGAAGTAGTTACAAGTTTTCGAAAAAAATACCTTATTGAAGCATCTAGTATCCGTTAATTTTTATGTGTAAATAATTTATAATACTTATAATCTGTATGTATGTTTATTACATATGAAATAAAGTTACGTTTAAGAACCGATGGAAATGAATTGTTCAACTAAATATCATGCTATAAATTAAAATATGCGCGTAGCTTTAATATTTTGAGTAATATTCCGAATTGAATACTTTTTACCATTGTCTAATAGACTTCTATTAACTTTCACGCAACGAAATGTCAATAGTTCGATTAGTAATGATTTCATACAGTACTGCCCGGATATATGGCAATAAATTTGTCCTCTTACGTGACCACAATCTATCCCCACCAATTCCTTATACTGATGGTTTGGATGTCTGTGACCGAGCATGTTACAATTTTATAAAATCCACCTCTCTGATCATTGGTCATATATCCAAACACCGCTGTATTGAAATAGAATTTAAGAGCCTGTAAAATACTATTAAGCGATAGGAGTAATTGTGGACATTGTTGCATAACGTCCAGAAGTATGGTCTTGCATATAACTTGCATATTAATTTGCCAAAAGAAGAATATTTGATAAATTCTTACAAATTTCAAGTTTATATTTTCTTTGTGTTCGATTAACATTATAAGGTTTCGTTAAAAAGTTATTAACGTTTAAAGTTCCGTCCGTACTGAATTTTTTTCTCGAAAATGGGCAGAATTTCAGGGGTATGTCTATTCACCAAAAATTATTGTAATTGACCACTGCAACCAAAAATAATTTATTTAGAACGACTAAAAATTTTTCAATTTCGCCGAAAAATTTAGGAAATCTGTTGATTTTTCTTAAAAATTCGTTTTTTATTTTTAGTAATTTTATTTGACGTCCTGCAGAAAAATTGTTTAATACTTTTTTGTAGATACCCATGAGTTATACTTTAGAAAAAAGTTTCAATTAGATACGGTCACTATTGTAAGAGTTATGGCTATTTGAAAATTGGACCATTTTTATGGGGTTTTTCTCATTTTGCGGGGTCAAGGAACAACTTTTCGAATATTTTTAGAATTTCTATATATTCTTCAACAAAATACACGTTATTTGCCCTTTGAAACATTAAAATCCCCCAATCCGTTCAGAAGTTATGACATTTTAAAGATTCGCATGAAATTTCGGGGTTGCATTTCTGGCCTCACATTACCTACCGTGTTATAGGAGGGTTACCTGTAATTGGTATGAATGAAAGATATAGAAAATAGGAAGAAATTAACTGAGGGAAGGATGTTCATTTCAGAACTTTGTTTCTTTTATGTTAACACGTTAACTGGTTCCCATGTCCAAAGATACCTTCGATATTCGTTCAAATTATGTTTACGATACGTTATTTATAATTTTACAATTAGAATTCTTCCATCGTAAATAATACACCTCGTAAGTATAAAGTTCCGGTTACCAGTAACCACCATGACAATTAACGTGTTAACGTTTTACTGGCGCCAATTCTGAATAAATTTATTATCATGAACGAATTTTTATTTGCTTAATGTGCATGTACGTAACAGTACGTAAGGTTAATTAGATGAAAATAAAATATTTCTATATATTATTTTCCTACTAATTGCTCTGAAATCATTGTGTCCTGTTTAACATTGTAGAACGTTCATCCACAAAGGTAAAAATTCAATTTACGACCAATCAAAATGCGTACCATGAGACATGTTACATTCAAAGTAGGCGGTTATACTTTTCCAACGTTTATAAAAATTTTAATCGTATGTACAACGATACATTTTAGAGGTATTTACGAAATGATTAAAAAACAATGTTAATCGCCAATCTTAAATTTGTTCTTTTACTATTGGTTTCTTTCGTGTAAATAAACAGATTGGAATATGTGGAGCCACTCGTCAGGTACTGCATGTCGTCCGCTATCTTCCGTTTCCGAATAGCAGAAGACATCACCTTGCGGGAACCAATCACGAGCGAAGCCCGTTCTTCTTCTCTCGTTTCTGGTATTGCTTCTGACGTGCATAACTTTTTTGAGTGGTGGAGGTTCATTTTTTTATTGTAAAATTTATTAAGAGAATGGCAGCTCAGTGGATACGAAACGCAGTAAGTAACATGTGTCGATCAAGAAACCCTCGGAACAGCCAGTGTCCTACACGTAACCCTACTTCTTCCCAAATTGAAAGGTTAGAATTTTTCGCAGATTGATTATATATCCGTCTGCTTGGCTGTAATATCTTGGCAGACTCTCCTGTTCTTATATCATTCGTCGTTTCTCTTTTTCCATTTTAGAATATTTATTTCCTATCTTGTTCCTGTTATCCTATTTTACGAGATGCGATATTGCTCGTTGCGTGTCGTTATCGATAATTGCGAATTATATGGATATTTTATTAACAGATTCCAAAAATTGGCGTTGGCCGCCTTTACAGCAGTAAAGTTCAGAAATGTACTCTTATCCCCGGAGACGGTATCGGACCCGAAATTTCCGCAGCTGTCCAAAAGATTTTTGACACTGCTAAGGTAGGATGGATATTTTCTTTTCCTGTATAAAACATTATTTAACAATTTTTATCTGTGCACGAAATTGTTTATGTAATGTGCATGTTAGACAGTTAAATGGAAAGTAGCAATAATGTTTATTTACTATGACACTTTTGTTACATTTTTGCACAGTTGTTATCACATCCTGAATGTTTGTACACTTTGATTTATGAATTATTTGTGATTTGAATTCTTACAAGGTGACCCTATTTGTCCTACTACTAACCTTAAGGAGTTTATTTTAATCTTACTCTTATACAGGTTGATCCAATTGTAAGCTAAATTCAGTCTGCTCTTATTGTAGTTAAGGTATGTTTTTTTTTATTTTTTGTATATTTTTTTGCAATGCATAAACATGTAACATATTTGTAGGCAATCTTTGTAATTTAATGCATGGGATTACATAAGTTTGTTTATATACAATGATAATTGTTTTTAATATTCAAAAAGAACTATGCAATATTTCTTAGTACGAATGAACAGATTCGAATTGTAACATTCATAGGTCTTCTATTGCATAACAGTATTACTCAACTATTAGTATTTGCCACTGTTCATCTATTTATGCCTTTGTATGATAGTACTAATAGAAGTAAATGTGTTTACATTTAGATAATGTTTTAACTAAACATTTTTGTTTCTTTAATATATATATATATATATATATATATGTAATTATTTATTGACAAATTTATCTTATATACCAGGTGCCAATAGAGTGGGAATCTGTTGATGTAACACCGGTAAAAGGTCCAGATGGTAAATTTGGTATTCCACAAGCTGCCATAGACTCAGTTAACAGGAATAAAATTGGTTTGAAAGGACCATTGATGACTCCTATAGGGAAAGGACACAGATCTTTGAACCTTGCATTGAGAAAGTAAGGTTGCTTTTATCTTTGTTATCGATATTGGAATATTGCCATAATTTTATTACAGCTATCTTAAATTGTTTATGTTACATAATTGTGTACATCATTAAAGACACATGGTATTTGAATTGTTTAAATTAATTTAGACTGGATTTTAACTGGACTTAAAATAACGTATAGAAATTTAGACAATTTCATAAAATATCGAATTAATAATTGTTTTTTTTTTTAGAGAGTTTAATTTGTATGCCAATGTTCGACCGTGTCGTTCTTTAGAAGGATATAAAACATTGTATGACAATGTTGATGTGGTTACTATACGAGAAAACACAGAGGGAGAATATTCTGGTATAGAACATGAGATTGTAGAAGGAGTTGTACAGTCTATTAAATTAATCACCGAAGAAGCATCTAGTAGAGTAGCAGAATTTGCTTTTCAGTATGCTAAGGATAATAATAGGAAAAAGGTACGCGATTAGAATTTTTTTAAATAATGTTTAAAAATATTTTAAGTAAATTTTAATTCGTTTTGCAGGTAACTGCTGTACATAAAGCAAATATAATGAGGATGTCGGATGGTTTGTTCTTGAGATGTTGTCGAGATGCTGCACAAAAATTTCCTTCCATTAAATTCGAAGAAAGATACCTGGATACAGTGTGTTTAAATATGGTTCAAGATCCTAGTCAATACGATGTACTTGTAATGCCTAACTTATATGGTGATATTCTGTCCGATATGTGTGCTGGACTTGTGGGAGGACTTGGTCTCACACCAAGTGGAAATATTGGCTTGAATGGTGCCTTATTTGAATCTGTATGTAACAGATATTAATAATTATTTATTATGCAGGGTAATATGTAGTTTAATGATAATATTTTCGTTTAAAAACAGGTTCACGGAACTGCCCCAGATATTGCAGGTCAAGATAAAGCAAATCCCACAGCACTGTTACTTTCTGCCGTGATGATGCTCAAACATATGGGATTGAATAAGCAGGCGAATATAATTGAGAACGCTGCCTACGAAGCTATTAAAGAAGGCAAATGTTTAACGGGAGATCTCGGAGGATCGGCAAAATGTAGCGAATATACTAACGAGATTTGCAAAAAAGTTTCAGCATTAACGAAATAGATAAGATGAGGTTTATTAAAAATAAACTGCCAAATACTCGTAGAAATGATACGCATGAGATCAGATGCTGTTTTTTAACGTCTCTGTAATTATTGTTTTAAAAATTTATTTCAATGTACATGTTCAGGATAAATCTGCAGTTGAATCGAACGAACTGCAGAAGTAGAAAGATGTTTTATTCATCGGTTCACATACATTTAGATAATTTTTTGTCGGCTACATGTATTAGTTTATTGTAACATATTGTTACTCAACTTCGTGGATTTGCTAATTGTATAATAGCATTTAATATTGTTTCATTATGATCGAATGCACGCAGTTTCATCGCGTGTATTGACTGAATATACTTCCATGTATGTCCATCATACTATATTTGTTATTATCAAAGATTCTTTAATAGGGTCTGTAAAAATAATTAGGCGTGTAAATTGATCTAGTGACACTGTATAATATTTCTAATTGAAATTATCATGAAGGAAATGCGGCCTCGAAGAAGAGTTTCAAGAATGAACAATGTGCAGTATTACACAATAACAAAATATTATAAATCAAATGTATCGTTTGTTATTGATCCCTGACAACTTTGTAAGTATCATTATGAAAGTATACTTGTAGGATCAAATTTAGAGGCTAAATTACGCGTTCGTTAGGAAATTGTATTTCACAAATAAAGTTAAAAATATCTATTAACCTGATTTTAAATAATTTTCGATCTATTGATTAAAAATTCAAACAATATGACGGGCATGTCTAATAAGGTAAATTTTCTAATATTTCTCATTACGTTATGACAGGCGAAGAAAGATAATGATTACGAAAAAGGGATTCTCTGAGTATCAACACTACATAGTTTCACCCCCTTGTGATGTTACGTTATAACTCTTGTCCCTAACCACTTCATAATTCCCCCTCTGCTTTTGCTGTACCTTTCTTCACGGTATAGCATGCTTCCCAGGAAAACTCTCAAGTATAAGAAAAGTTGTCGGCTATATTTCACGGCGAAGGGAGAGGGAGGGATGAGGAAAGACCCGGTGTCATCTTCGCTGCTCGTTAATTCTTTTCGTGATTTATAGAGATTCCCCAAGTGTGTAATGACTGACTCCTAACAAATTCTTGATATTAGATTTTCTCCTTTCAGGTGTGATATATAGAGCGGTGGAATACAATACATTAAAGTTGTTCTTATAACTGGTATAATCGATACCGTCATCGATTCTATCGATACCAGGTTATAAATTTCGATCCAGAAAGAATCCGTTTAGTATTCCGGTTTAGGCGTACAACTTCTACGCCATCTTTGTAATTCTTTTAGACTGCTTTGTATTGGAATCTCGAAGATATATTTACTTATGCTTTTAGTACAGGCAATATTTTTTTTCAAGTAACAATAATGAAAATTGTACGGGTTACAGATCACCGAAGAAAGTACTTTTATCGAAAAGTGCCCTCGTGGATGGTACAATTTCAGCCGTTCTGCTAATCCGAGGAGAAGAAAAAGAATCTTCGTTAGAAAGTGTGTTGTGCCGTGAATTAGAGAGAAGTAATCATTTTTCCCTGTTACACGAGACACAGAGATGTCTGAGGATCATTCGATGACGTGAATTTTTAAATAAGATTAACGAACGTCTTGATGGTTACGAACCACAGCGGTGGCAAGTGCAAAGCGCAAGCCACCAGGTGGTATTCATCCCCCCCTCCCCCTACTACCGTCAAATCCAACCGGTCGCAACGAGTAGTTACACAAAGGTGGAACACTCGAGCGAAGTGTGGAAAGCGACGCATGCATATTCAGCGTCGAGGCCGACGGTAGTCATAGGAATAATAAAAATTCGAGGGTTGAAATTATTTAGATTTATGCCCGCTCTCTTGTCCTCGTGCCGCCGGTGACGAGAAGCGATTCGATTCCGGGGAACAAATTTCATGCATTATTCAAGACCTGCCGCAATGCACCCCAGTCAATGGAACCGATCCTTTGGAAAAAGTCGTTTTTAATCTCTCGCCTCGTTCCAATAATGCGCATGCATCCGTTCATTCCACTATCACCCCTTTATGAGCGGAAACCGTGTTTTCTGTCTTTAACGCGGAACCGAGCACGAACGCGAACAATAGATCGGGATCTATCGATATCGTCGAACCGCAACGTACGAGTCTGGAAATCCGCGATCCATTTCTTACGATAGACTTCGTCATAGTATCCAAAATGTGCAAGCAAAATTACACTACGTTAAAAATTGTACATTACGAATGTACAAACTCAACGCAGAAACCTAAACCATTTTTGGCGGGCTGAAAACATTGGTATGTTTTTATACAGGGTGTTCGGCCATCCCTGGGGAAAATTTAAATGGGAGATTCTGGAGGCCAAAATAAGACGAAAATCAAGAATATCAATATCTTGACTGAGGCTTCGTCAAAAAGTTATTAAAAAATTAAATTAGAAAATTTCAAATCACTCTGAAAAAATTATTTTTAGCCGCGGAGATCAATTGCAATCATTTTTGGTGAATACACATACCCTCCAAATCCTACCCATTTTCGAGAAAAAATTCGTGTAGGTGTTAAAATTTTTCGGCGAAAAAAAGAAATTTCAAATCGGTTTGGAAAAATTATTTTCGGTTGCGGGGGTCAATTGCAATCATTTTTGGTGAATAGATATACCCACGAAATCATACGTACTTTCGAGAAAAAAAATTCGAGATGTGAAATTTTTCGTCAAAATTAAAAAATTTTTAGTCGTTCTAAATAAATTATTTTTGGTTGCGGTGGCCAATTACAATCATTTTTGGTCAATAGACATACCCCTGAAATCCTACCCATTTTCGAGAAAAAAAATTCGAGGTGTGAAATTTTTCGACAAAATTAAAAAATTTCTAGTCGTTCTAAATAAATAATTTTTGGTTGCGGTGGCCAATTACAATCATTTTTAGTCAATAGACTTACCCCTGAAATCCTACCCATTTTCGAGAAAAAAAATTCGAGGTGTGAAATTTTTCGACAAAATCAAAAAATTTCTAGTCGTGCTAAATAAATTATTTTTGGTTGCGGTGGCCAATTACAATCATTTTTGGTCAATAGACATACCCCTGAAATCCTACCCATTTTCGAGAAAAAAAATTAGAGGTGTGTTTGTCGACAAAATTAAAAAATTTCTAGTCGTTCTAAATAAATTATTTTTGGTTGCGGTGGACAATTACAATCATTTTTGGTCAATAGACTTACTCCTGAAATCCTGCGCATTTTCGAGAAAAAAATTCCGTACTGTCGGAACTTTAAATGTTAATAACTTTTTAACGAAGCCTCCATCAAGAAATTGGTATTCTTGACTTTCGTCCTATTTTGGCATTTAGAATCGCCCATTACAATTTTGTCCAGGGATGACCGAACATCCTGCATACATTAGTCTCTCATACCTTAGATTCCATTTTTGTAACGAGCCAGTAAAATCATCATTTGTTTTGTCACTGACAGGTTGCTCCCTTAATTAATCATTCCCGTGGAACGTTTTGTAATCGCCTTACAACGGATTAACTGGCTCGACGACAGCTGCCACGAGGAAAGTTTTATTTCGTTATTTTCGACGACGATCGTACGTCGGTCTCAGTCGGCCACAGTTCCCTAACTCGTCCATATTTCCGCGCAAGCGAAACAATGAGGAACCAAGGTGTTCTAGCGATCGTGGCGATCCTCGTAGTTTACGTCAATGGACGAGTTTACTACTTGCAGAACGCGGATGAAAATCGATACGGCTCGACTTACCCCGTTCCGAACGAACAATCTTCGCGCGATCTAGATCTGAGTTTCTCTGCCGGGGATTCGGACGAAGTTGATAACGTGATACGCCCTGTTAAAAAGGTGAGCTGATATCTCCATTTTATTTTTTGATACGAGGATCGTTCAATGAGTCCTTGGAAATAGATAGAAAAACAAATTATTTTAGGTAGATTTTTTTGTTATTTTTCAACATAATCTCCTTTTAGCTCTATACGCTTTTTCCAAACGTTTCTACAACTTTTTTAAGCCATCTAAAAAGTAAGATCTCGTAAGCCATTGTTTTAAGTTTGGAAATAAAAAATAGCCGGGGCAAATCCAGTGAATACGGTGGATGTTGTAATAATTCGAACTTTAATTCGCGCATTGTCTTGATGCAAGAGGAAGTTCCTTGCTTCGATCGACAATAGAAATGAAACCATGTGATGGATATAACTGACACTTCGACAGTTGTCTAGCGAGTCATTATGCTTACTAAAAACAAGCCATTTTCGATGCTACGAGCGCCAGGTCAGGGATTTTCTAAGGATTTATCGAACGACCCTCGTACGCTTGCATTTGGACGGAAACAATTGTTAAATGATCATAGAAAGTTTTGCAGATTTTCGTAGTATCTCTTTCCCAATGCTGATCGATAAAACCGCCCGTTAACGATGATCGCTTTAATTAAACGACCATAAAAAGCGATCCGGTCGTTGAAATTTATCGCAAAATGTTCCGCGAATAAATAACAGCATCTGATCGATGTTAATTACTACGCATAAATATCGCATTACTGTCCCGAATCAGGTGTACGCGTTCGCCGCGCCGGAAAAGCCGTTCATCGGGGCGAACAAAGAGGAGTTACCGATCGCACGGTACAAATTAGTCGAGGCACCTGTTAGAAGAGCCGGGCCGGACGATGTCATCGTTGTTCCCGAACAAAGCCGCAAAACGGTGAAAATCGATGGAAACAACAAGGGCGAAGTGATCTTGGAGCTTCGCGTTATTGCTAATCACGACACCGTTTAACCGAATTCGTCGAAAGCGCGTAACAAGGGGTGAGTACGCGAGACACGCCATCGTACGATTTCTATTACGTGTACAAATGAATAATCAAATTTTTTCAGCCGCAAAGTATTCGTCGTTACTTTCTATAACTTTAAGCCATCTTTCAGGCAGTTTATGATTTCCATCTCGGAAAAATTTTACGTTTTTGGACCCGATAATCAGTGATTATCGGATGGAGCAATGTCAGCCAAGACTCATTATGGTGTCTTTTGTATGAGAAGCAATATGTGGCCTGGCGTTGTCATCCAATTTCACTGGGCGTTCTTCTTTGCCAGTATACGGACGTTTTCGTTCCAATGCTTGACTCAAGCAGATTAACTGACGTTGCTAGCAGTCCGCGGTAACTGTTTCACCCGGTTCCAACAACTCCTAATAAACCACGCCCTTGGTATCCCACCAAATGCAGAGAAGAACCTTCTTTCCGAAGCGATTGGGTTTTGCAACCGATGTTGACGCTTCGCCGGGATTTACCCACTTTCCACAAGAAAGACTTTCGACGCTGCTTATCGAGAAGAGAAAGACACGCTGCCACTCGTTGATTTTTGTTGGTTGCAGTGAGTTCACGCGGAACCCATTTTCCTTCTTTCTGGATCTTTCCCCATCTCACGTAGGCGTTTGGAAATCGTTCGCTGGGTTACTCCTTACTGTTCTGCAAGTTCTTTTTGCGTTTGTGCCGCATCCTGAACGAGCAGTTGTTCCAAATCATCGTTGTCGCACTTCCTTAGGCCTCCAGGGCGTTGTTTGTCGATTAGACTCAAATCACCGCTTTTAAACCGTATAAACCAAAATGTGCACACATCATACGATACAACACCTTTATCTCTTGCAGCATTTTTCCCTTGTTGGAATTCGTAAAGAATGCAGTGTCGGATATGCACCTTATCTGTTGCCATTTTCGACTCTGCTGAATTGAATAGTTTTGAAGTCTATGTTGGGCCTTTCGCTTGACTATATGTACATATAGTTAATATAATATAATTTTATAAATTAATATAATATAATTAAGTTAATATAATATATAGTTATACTATAACTTTAGCTATATGACCGCAAAAGATCGGGAAAATCTATCGACTTTAAACTTGATTTTATAACCGCTTAAGATAATTTGGATTAATCATTTGTACACCTAATATTATTTTGTCCACCCGTGAGGAAAGAAAGTACCGTAGCCGAGAAATATTTCGAAACTAGTTTTGTTGTTTTTTCTTACGGATAAACACGAAGGAAAATTTTTTTTATCGTTAAATTAATGAAAAATCGGTATCGCGCGAACGGTATACTCGTCGGAGATACGACGCTCTCGCGAGTTCGTAAAAGGGACGCACGACGGGATCGGCCGGAGAGCTGTCCCTTTTAATGTCTTAATTGTCTCGTAAACCAGTGCTAATATTTGCGGAACGATTCGGATGGATTCTCCGCTCGGAACACGCTTCATCGATCTAACCGCTCGCAAACACACCGTCGAAGTTTTACATTCAGCCTTTGCAAACGAGTCGGTCTGGGAGATCGATATCTCCCGACAGATTTGCCCTCGTCTCTAAAAGCCACGTATCTCTTGTCAATCCGCTCGCACACGCGTATCGGCGGTCTCGTGTTCCCCTTAATTGTGCTCCGTCGGTGTCCCGTCAAAGAGAGACCAATCCGAGGAACCGAATCTCGATCAGCGGAGGACCCGCGAGATACCCGTCACGGAAGTTTATTAATGTCAAATAACGACGAGAGACTGACGCTGGCAGCGTGACCGTATCCGCGGTCTGAATGCGCGACGCTCCTTTTGCGTGTGCGTTCTTTCGAGGGTGCTTTTGATTATAACGAGCACGGCGCATTGAGAAAGGTGAGGAAGCCGGTTGCTTCGCCCCTCTGTTCTATGTTTTTCACCCTTTCGAGAGTTCGAGTGCACCGAGCTGCCGGACCCTTCGTTCCACGAATGCAGATTTCGAGTCCGTGTACATGGAGAGCGCTCGGAAAGATATTCGTCACGGGTATCGCGGGCGAATCTACGCGTCTCAATCGGCAGCGATCCGTCGAAAGGAAACGAGAACTACGAAAGATGATCTGGTGCTCGTTGCAAAGGGTTAATTTAAAAATTAAAATGTCAGACTAGCTCCAACGAGTCTTATCAACCCCCAATAATTTGCGCCTATAGGAAAGGATAGAGAATTCTCTGATGTAGTTGACTCGCATTACTTTTATTACGTTTAATATACACGTCGAATACTTTCTATTAGTATATATAGTTACAATAGAACGCTACTATAGTATGTACAGCGCATATCACATACAGTCGAATTCGGAGGGGAGCCTCTTTGCTCCCGGTAGGGGATCTCTAAGATCCACCGTCTCCTTGCTAAAAGGTGACTCTTTAAATCGAGCCTCGATTGTAACGATAGAAAGTTAGAACGATACAGGTTGCTGAACCAAAGAGCTCGGTGTCTCAAAAGTGCGATACTAAACAGTAATATCAAAAAGTCGTAAGTTGCATGCAGATTCTCAAAGAATCGTCCGGTTTGTTAGATCAGAACGAGTTACGTTGAAATCATCGACGTTGTATCTTATAATGCATGCATTAGAAAAAGAGAGCAATCGTTGCGAATTAATAGATACGGTCAAACGAAAATAATTTTGTACTATTGGAGATTGGAGATGGGCAAAATTTTATTTCAATATCATTGCATGGAGAAAGGGCGCACACGTAAAAATCCCGTTTCGAATGAGTCAATTTCAAAGCGTTCGTTGATCAAAGAATAAAATCGATGTTGTGGGAAATTGGTGTTGACGAAAGCATTGTCGGTGATTTCAATGTAATTCAATTAGAGTAGCATATTCATATTGGCTGGTGCGTAAGATAGCACCGATAAAAGTTGCAATTTGTCTATGGTAATGTCGACGAAAGAAGTTATTCTTGGATACAGAAGAAGAGATTCGATTAAACATTAAAGGAAAGTGCAAAAGCGACATTTTTGGGGGAAGAATTATTGAAATAAAATATTACGTATTAATTATTTTATACCAACTATTATACTTTTTTCAGATCGCCGAGGAACATGGTTGGAGCAACGATTCTACCTACGGCGGGCGATTTTGGAGCAGTAATTTCACCTATTGCGATTACGTTTATTTTTACTCGTGTATGTATAATGGTACGTATTCTTATAGAGATTAATAAAAAGTGTAAAAAATACTTTGATTAATATAACATGTTAATAAAGAAATCTATAAAAACGATGGAAACTTTTGCGTGAGTGTAATATAATTTTCGAATAGAAATATTTCACTGCTAATTCGCGTCTTCTTTTCTTCGTTCAATTGGAAGGCACAAGATATAAATGAAAATGTTGGCAGAAATATGGAAACTGCGATTTCATCTCTTCAATCTCTTACTTGGAACGGACAAATTAGGCCACTGCTGTTTAAAACACATAAGATAAGTCACTGTATCAAAAAAGTTTAATTCGTATTTATAAGTGTTCGAGATGCTCAGAATCTAAACTAAAATGTTTAGAATGAAAACGATCGGCTCCTGGAGAAAGATCGTTTCTACCCTCGATAACTGATCAGAATCGTATTCGTTCCGGTGATCAATTAGAGAGGCAATACTGTGCCTTGTTGCAAGCTTCCAAGACGATGGGAATAAGGTAGGCGAGAATTTCTTCCGAAACATCTTCCAACAGCTTTCTTTCGTCGACACGACCATAAACTCCGAAAATGCGTTCAATACGATGAACGTAAGGAGGAAAGAAGATCGAACAAGGTGAATCGAAGAACATCTTCGAAAACAGCAAAGGTAGACAATTTTCTTTGACTATTATCATTCGTCGATGTCGTATATTATAAAACGGAATAGCAGATTCGATCGTTTTGATAACGATACGATAACGTTCGGAGCTTCCTATATTATCGCGAATGACGTGGTCGAGTGAAGTCGTAGCTACACCTATTTATACAAGTGAGAACGGAAGAGAATCGTTCGATTTTCACGAGTTATTCGGTTACTTGCGAAGTCTGCTCGTTCGTAGGATCCCTCTTCGGTTCTTTCACGTAGTCGACGACCAACTCTAGGCCAATCAGTGCTCGAAGATCCTTCCTTCCTTCTTCCTGGCTTGTGGACGTGGTAGCGGTGTTTTCCGATTTCGGAAATCTTTCGCTTGCTGTGCAACAAAAATTACAGATCGATTTAATAACTTCGTGAAAACTTACAGTTTGCTGGCTAAGAATATACATTGTCATTCGTTCCAACAAAGAATAAACGTGTAGTCGCACAATTTTTTGTCGACGGGCATTGTTACAGTTAAATCGAAACCGAAAAGATTTTTTCGCAATGTTCATTCCACCGACAAATTAATTTTTACGAACCATGTCTAATTAAATACGCCTTATATGTACTATTGATCCACTGAAAATTCGAAATGGCTTCCACGATTAGTTCGCTAGCGCTCATGGAGCTGTAAACGTATGACGTGCATTGTTGTAGACCGTATTACTGAATCATCTCTTTATCGACGGTAATTTCAATGAGCATGCGAATTTGTTGATTACTGACGAGAGAAGTTTGGTATAATATCTTATTAAGGGTTGTCGAGCCCACAATGCCCACAATGTTTCTAGTTACATTGTCTAGTATCGAATCCTCCATTCCACTGTACCATTGGCGAATAGAATACAGTAAGGGAAGATGGACACTCACCGTTATCAACATCTTTCGGACTCTCCTCGCTCTCTGTCGTCGACGTTTCGCTTCTCGACACGTTCTGCGCCTGGTTTATGTTTCTGTACGTCCTGGTCAGGTGTCTGAGGATGTAATTAGTGCCGTGCGAGTTCTCCTCCATGCCCTTGGACGTGCTAGCTTCGTCCCTAGTCAGATTCAACGGCCTGTTACTGTTGTATTCCTTCGATTGCGGCACGCTGAACGCCGAACAGTGCTTGCCTTTGAACGGTAGCTGCCTCTCGCTGAGCTTCCGGTCCCATATGTGTCCCGACACGCGAAGGTCGATGAAGAAGTGGAGGGGGTCGATGCCGGGATAGGATTGGGGCATCGGGTACGGCGGGTACCAAAGCGGGCTAGGAAGGAACTCCGAGTTCGTCACGTTTCCGGGCAGACCGAAACCTTTTACGCCTTGCAGCATGTCGCAACCCCTTCCTGGAAGACCGGGAAGAAAGTTCCTGGAGAAGTCTAGCTTCTTCTGGTCGGAAAGCGGAGGCAGTTCCTGGCCCCCGATCGCGGCCTTCGTGCGCTCGTCGTAGGGGCTTCTGTCGTTGTAGCTGCAATTCTTGCGCTCGCCGGAATGCGTCTCTTCCGGTTTCACCTTTTGCAACTCGCTGGAGAAGATGTTCTCCGGCGGCTGCGCTTGCTCGAATTGACGCGGTCGCTCGTCGAAGTAATTTCTGCTCTGTTTACTGAAATCCGGCTTGTTCTCGTCCACGGGTTTCAGTATGTCGCCGCCGAAGCTCGGTTTCTGCTCGTAGTTCCCCACTTTGCTCTCGGTATCGTAGCCCTCGTTCTGTTTGCCCCTGTTCTCCAGCCGCGTTTCCGTTTGCTGTTGTTGCTGCTGCTGTTGCTGTTGTTGATGCTGCTGCTGCGAGTGAAAATACTTCTCCTGCTGTTGATGATGATGATGATGATGGTGGTGTCTCTCTTTCGTGGTCAGCTCCAACGGACGATCCCGCGCGTCCCGCCAGCTCCTCTTGCGACGCCTAGGCGCGCTGGTCGTCGTCCCCGTCGTCGACGCTTCCGTCTTCGCTTGCACGAACGACCGTAGCATCTCGCTGAAGAAGAAGCTGTGAGGCGTCAACGGGACGTTGTACAAATACGGCGGAGTCGCCGCCAATAGACGGGAGACCAAGTCGCCGCCGGATAGCGACGCTGGACTCTTCAGCGTCGACGGGTCGCCCGTGGTCGTCGTCATGTTGCTCGTTTTCGAGGATGGTAACTGCAGAAATTGGAAAACCGTTAGAAAGAGGCTCGACGTCATCAGGTCCGCGGGAAGGTTCTGTTATAAACGGTACGATGTTGATAAGATTCTGACATTCTGGTCGTCGGAGAAGTGCATTTAAGTTGGACTGTTCTGTTATAGGATTGCAAAATATCTATGGACCCGTTTGGGACGGATGGTAGCAGGAGCACGGTACGCCCAGGCTCTCTACAATAATCGAGAACGGAAAACACGGAACAGGGTATGTAGAAATCGACGGAGTGGAAGCGAGCTACTATTGTCTGGTGAAATTAATTGAATATCCGCCAGTGTTAAGTCTAAGACGAGGCAGACGACGCCTACCGCCGGCAAGGAGGACCGGGATGGGGGCTGGAGTAATACCAGGCTTGCATCGCATCATCCATTAAGGATTACTAATTTCTGTCAAGTGCACGTTCGGTTTCGCTCGGATGTCTTGCAAGGAATCCTCGAGGAATCCCTGAGAAATCGTTAATGAGAATCCACGGTCTTAGGTATTTCAATTAAACTTCGTACCACGGCTGTATGAACAATCGCTGCGAGAACAAATAGTAATTAGAGGGAATGTTCCCAAGATCCGACAGTTGCCGGTGATTAATGCAGTTATAATTTCTTTGAATCGTGTTGAATTCGGTCGGGATGTACCTTCGGAGCTGTAAGAAACGTCGCCCGAAGAAACGACGCGCTCGAGTTGCCAGCAACGTTTCAGTTTAGTTTAAAAATCGGTTTACGGTATTGTTAGATTTTTGAACGCTATTGAATAATTTCCAAAAAATTCCAGGACAGTATATTATAAATATTATTTTTGCATTCATTACACGTAAAACAAATGAGAATTTCAATAGATACGTTTGTACTAAAAAATGGACAACGTTTGAATGCTTTCGCGCGCGAGCGTATGCTTAATAATAATTAACATTTGCATCGAGGACCATGTGTCGGGACATTATTTGTTCTGGTCATTGGTGGATTTGCTTTGATAAGCGCGACGCAGCGTCGCGACGAGAAACTTTTTCCTCGCGAGCCCGAAGTCCACGGAGCCCTGGAAAGATTTCCCCGCGATAGAAAGACAGAAGAGAGTAACAGGGCGTGGAAATCAGAATGGTGGTCTGTATCCGTGGCCGAGCACCGAGGAGGGATTGGGTATTGTTTCGGTCCATTGTTTCCGAAACAAACGGCGTCCACGTTGTTTCGTCAGGAGATATTATGTTCAACCAGACAGGCAGGACGAACAGGAAATGGACTGCTGTCAGTTTTACTCTTCGTGATAAATACGAGCCCGCCGTCGGTGTTCGCGTCGCGTCCCGTTCGTAATTCCAACTGTCTCTATCGCCTCGCGAGCATCGAAACGTTGAAAATACTTTCATTTCTTTGACGGTCGTCTATCTGCTCCGATCCGTATTATTTAACGTTCTTCGTGCGTTCGCGTCGATGAATATTCTTCGCTCATTACACGGCCGTTTTATAGCGCGTGGTTGGATAAACAGAGCCTCGGGGAACTTACGCGCGGGGGAAATAAATTTTCTGAAGCCGTCTCGCCGACGTATTTCCATTTTTCTGTACGGTCTTTCTGTTTTCGTTCCGCGGGCAGAATTGGTAGATACGCGTCGAAGCGTGTTGAACAAATTTCAAACCGGTACCGCGCGGACCGGTAATAACAAACGAGAAGTCTTTCGACAATCGAGAAATAATGAAATCAGGAGATTGGAGGTGATTTTCATTTCGAACCGAGATCAATTGGTTTGCGTTTCATAAACATAAACGGTAGATGCGACGAATGATCCCTATACTTGAATTCCGTGCAATAGTTACCACTTGAAAATGAAAGTTACCGTATTCCTCGCAAAAGAGACTACGGCAGTAATCTTTCATTAAGCTGAAAATTAATTGGGAGCACGAATGGAAGACTAAGGCACCAGCGGGCATTTTAGAAGATGAGGATAGCTTCTCCAACGGAAATTGAAGAATCTAACGGAAGAGAACGAACAGTAATTACCCGACTGAAAATTGAACGTACTTAATTAGCACCGACATAATTTCGACGAAAGTGATCCATTACGTTGCGAAGCTTGCAACATTAAACGTATTATTCAGAAAGAATTCGATACTTTATACGATTGTACGGTACGTATATTGCGTCGAGAGATTTAAAACGCAAGAAAATTTAAGATGAAAAGCATCAATTATCTTTCAATTGCAGCAAATTAAAAGGATGCAGCTTGCGCAAAGATGTTTCGTTACCTTTGATTGGCGAAAACGGAGATTCTTTCTTAGTTTCGCGTTTAGTTGAACATTATTGACAGTGTTTAATACTCTGACAGATTTTTTTTATCGCCGCTGTAACGAGAAAGGGATAGAAAAGCTTCGGGAAAGGCTCACGGCTACACGGAACTCTTTCTGCAGAATCCCGAGGGACGAGAAACGATTTTTTTCTCCCCCGTGATGGCTCCGCCGGAAGACAATAGCGACGCGTTTCCATTACTTACACCGTGGACTTCTTTCCAAACAGGAAATTTTAAAGCTCCGCCGCCTCATGAAATTCAGCGCTGCGCTATTTTACCGGGAACTCGAGCCACCGGTCCAACCAGGAGGTCTTAACCCTTTGCGATTCGACATAGAATTTTCTGACTAGTACTGCGTCCATCTTCTCGTAACACGATTCGATTCAAACATCTGACAAACTGTTTGGAAAAGGAAGAGAAACATGTAACATGTAAAAATAAGTAGAGAAATATAATAACGTTTGTTTCGAAATCGACTTTGAAGAATCATCGGGTATCCATGCAACAGTGTACCACTTGGACTTCAGCACAAGTAGAATAATAGATCAATGATCAGACGCGCCAGCCAAAGCGTGCTCAGACGTACGGGCGTACCCGACAAATTTTCAAATTTAATTATATCTCGAAAACAAAGGACCGAACGAAACAATGTTATTCATCCCTTTTAACTCAGTTTTACATGCAGAATTATTCTCTGCCCGGTTTTACCACTCGTCTCCACTCTGTACGTTAATCACGAGAAAGAGAGCTCGAGTTGCGCGTTGTATTGTTTTAAATGATTTTTAAATTGATATTCCCATCAATTAGTGCAACAAGGAAGCACAGGCAAGCCTCAGGGTACGAAAAGAAGTAGCTAAATTGCGCGTGGACCTGTAGTAGCGAAGTATAAAAAATGTTTCGAACAGCAATGGGTTAAATTTTTAGAACATTAATCCTCGAGTTCGTTGCGAGCATTTTGTTCGATTCTATTCGTTTCTTCTTGGTTCTTTTTTTTTTCTTCCACGTTGCAGAGGTTCACGGGGTAAAAAAGTGGCGAAGAAACCGCGGGCGGAATTTACATCCAACCGTCCCCGCTCCCTTCGTAGCTTTGTCGAAACGTTACAGCATCTTCTCTCGGTCCCTCGTATTTAAATCGCATTACCCCGAGTAAAATAATTCAGCATCGCGCGGGCTGAGAATACGTCAATTATGCAAAAAGTGCGAATTTCCATCGCGTCGGTTCCTTTATTCTATTACCAGCGACGATAAAGAAGCCATCGCGAAAAAGTTCGCGGACATTTACTTCGGATTCCACGCGACGAAACAATTTATTCCCAGCCAGAGCTTTCTCCCTCTTAAAAGTCAACGGTAACACATTTTCGCCGCCCGCCCCAGCGATATTCCATTTAAGTATCTTTTTTTAAATTGTAACAAACACTTCTCCCTCCTCTCGATCCTCCCCTTTATAGTCGAGCCTCAACCCCCGCACGATGAATTTTTTTTTTTCTTTCGAAATCGCTCATCGAATCTCACTTTTCTTTTTACAGGGTAACCTGGAAAATATAGTACTGGCTGCTGCAGGGCGTATTTTTCACAGATTAATAAACCTCAATTACGAGTATATAAGCTTCTCCCAGAGGACTTTGTATGAGAAAATAAATCAAAGATATACAATGATTCGTCCGGTAACGCTGGACTTGTCCAACGTGTCTGACCATCACTCGTCATTTCTACTTGCGTTTGGTGTTTAACACTTTGACGGCCGCTGTCACGTGTACGTGACTTTGCGAGCTAGCAGACGTTGGCCACTGTCACAATTCAACTTATTACGTTTGTTGAGGTTACATTTATAATTCCTTATAATAATATTCCTAGCATCTTCATGTATCTCACTTTGGTTTACAATATCAGTGGTGACGGACAACGGTCTTAGCGTGATCCGTGCGGCCATTAAAGTGTTAATATCTCCGGTGTAAGTAGAAATAACGCGTAATGGTCAGGCGCGTTAATAAGTTTACAATTTTCTCGAATATCAAGCATTGTATGAAGACATTTTGTTCTATATTTTCGATTCACTTTCTCGTCTAGAGTAACCATATTGCAGTGTGCAGCAGTTTGTGCAATATTAAGTAGCGAGGTTCGTCTGTTCGGTTATTTTTGCTCTTTTTTCGGAGACGGACCGGTGTGGATTCGTTGAAAGTAGAAAAGGTTAAAGGTTGAAATAGTAGAGTACAGTCCACGAGATAGAATTCTCTCGAAACTCAGAATTGAGGCGCACTATGATACGTAAATACGATGTATCTGTCTGAGAAATTTTATACATCGAGCAAACAGTGATACAAGATCTATCTTCGCGTCATATTGAGCTAGCCGGATTCATTGGCAGGCGTTGTGGACGAAACAAAGGAAGAGTGATCGTATTTCCATGAGGAAAAGAAAAACGAGGACTAGAATTTCGAATATAACGGGTGCGCGATGAAACGAGGCTGGTAAGCCTGAAACGCTAGACAACATATGCTTAATCAATCGAGACTGTATATTCGCATTAAACGATACGGTATACACTGTCATAAATGTATAGATAATTCTAGTCATGCTCCAACTTCCGATTGACAGAGCGAGATTGATATTACATTTACACGTTCACTATCACCATTCGGTTCGAAAGCCATTCACCACGGATTACCCTGTATTAGTAGTAATCTTATTCATCGTGGC